CGCAGGCGGCCGTTTCCCTCTCGCCGACCTTAAAACGCTCGACTGCCATTCACTCGCACATGTACGCGAGCAAACGGGCACACACACACGTGACAAACTAGTCCCGTTTTAGCAAGAGACACTTGAACGTGTCACGCAGCAGGGGGCCATAAACCTCGATGCCCCTCGAGCGATCCAACACACCAATCTTGCAACACAAGAACTCACTTCAAAATCATTGAAAAGCAACTGTCGCATCTCACAGTAGAGACTAACAGACACTGTCATGCGTAACTGGATGCATTCAACATCAACCCTGCCTACGCCAGCGGCAACTACTGCCTGAGACAGCAAGTCCGGGTTCTGTACACTGGTGACTTTCACATTCGCGCTCTTCTTATTGTGTTGGTCCCTAAAGATTCAAACAGGGCGTAATAGGACTGTAACATCTCGGCTTTGGTAACATTACAACATCCTCCCACTGCACGAAGATGCCAATCGTGTGGGAGTGCTGGAAACTCTTTGTTCATTGAACGACACGGGTGCAATTGGACAAATACTGGATCAATTGCCTCCAGTATTTTTGCAGCACAACGAACGGCCATTAATTGGGTTGCTGGGTCGATGACCGGCGCGAAATAAATCAGGTACAAAAAGTTTACTTGAATTATCCTTAACATGCCTTTAGTTTCCGACACTTCTCATCGAGGACTTTGCATGAAAAGAATTCATGGCCTCGAAGGACTTCGAAACCATATCAGCAGGGAAGGATTTAGTACAACCAACGCAATACCAAGTAAGCTAAGAAAGCACGCCAGGAGCGGTGAATTTAATCACACTTGATTTAATTTACCCGCTCAGGCCGGATTTCCTAAGAAATCATCCAGAATCCACCGGAATGGCCACTAGGCTCAGATAATTATGAGGAGGATTTGGCACGTTTGAATTTTTCACAATAAGGTCGATTAATTTATTCACGTCCGCACAGCTGGCCAGTAGTCACTCTGGTGGATTCTAGATGATTGCTTAGGAAATCCTGCCCGGGCATTCAGATGTCTGTATTCGTTTTGGTGGATTCCATACGAACAGTAGGCTGGGCGGGTAAATCAATCCAAGCGTGATTCAATTCACCGTTTCTGGCGGGTTTTTGTAGCTCACTTGGTAGTGCGTTGGCCGCACCAAAACCTTTCCTGCTGATGTGGGTTCAAATCCTACCGGAGGCATGCATTTTTCACAATATGATCAATTGAATTATTCAAATCTGCCATTCCCTCCCAATAAGTACCGCTTATATTAGTTGTATGTATTGATGGATTACTTCTGTAGGTACTTACTGCAATACATTACCTACCCCCATTTTATCGTGTTTCTTTTGTCTCAGAAGGTTTTCTTCCTCTGCAGGAACTGCCAGTTACCAGTGAAAGTGATTCACCTTTGTAGCTTCAGAAGCCACATAACTTCCTCTGACTGAAGATTGCAAATGTGTGCAATTCTTTACCAAAAAATGTTCACCTGCATCCACCCAATAAAAATTAATCTATCTACTTTCTGGTTTATTCAAAAAAAGAAAGATCAAGCGAATGCGTATCTGCTCACGCGCCGACATGGACTGCATATCCTTGCAGTTTGCGCTAATAAATAAGTGGGAGTGTAATGTAATACATGTACTACGATAGCCGACAGCGTAAAAGACTGTAGTAGTGGCTACGCAAACAAACGTGGGAGAAGTCCCATCGCGCAAATGTTCGAATGTCGTGGCTAAATGAC